CCCCAAAACCCCAAAACCCCAAAACCCCAAAACCCCAAAACCCCAAAACCCCAAATTTAGTCGTGAAAATTGAAATTTTGTACGTAAATTTTAGGATTTTAGTGAAATTTAGGAAGAAATTAGGGGTTGTTCAGTGGGATTTTTGGGGCTGTTGAATAGGGATTGTGCAGAAAGGAAGTTTAGTGGAGAGAAGTGGGGAAGAGAATTTTAGGAGGGATTAGGTTAAGACTTTGGGCTTTGTCTGTGATAGGATGGGATTTAGTGGCTTGAGAGAGATTTTGGGTCTTTTTTGGGCTTTTAAAGCGATATTTTTATTAAATTTCCAGTTGCGGATTTGTTGGCCTGAAGGTTAGGATAGAGAGTACCGATTCTTTTGTGCATCTGGTGAGCATTTTCTGAGGTATTCAGGTAACTCTTAACATTTACTCAGTATAAGTTCCTATTAATCAAGCGTTAATAATTATTAAAAAAATCGATAAGGTTTGAAATAAATTAACTAAGTTTATTGGTCCAAATTTATTTTTTCAGGTTGTGTATTCCAAAAAGTTAACACTATTTCTCATATCAGGTTCAGATTAGAGCTGTAATTTACAATGAATTTGCATATTTCGCATTGTCTTTGTCTATGATAAAGATATATGAACACTTGTAGTCTTCTAGGTTGCCAAGAATTATCGAACATCTTAGTAAATTATAAAAATCTGATGATTTAAGGTATCCAGAAATTTGTTTTACGTTAATAGCTGATAAATTTCGAAAGCAGTATTAATTTCCTTAATAATCGTAGTGCAAGACGCTGTTCATCAGCACTGATACCACCCAAGGCACTCTAAATAGAGAACTTCTAATATACTTATGGCTATTAGCAAGCTCTAAGGCATAGCTAAATGATTGGTGAAACAGTTAGTTTTATGCTTGATGATCATGCATATCTCCGCACGAAAAGTCAAAAATCTTACTTTCCTAAATCCTCAGTTTTTGGAGCAGCTGAGAAGTAATATTTAGTGCTAGTGAAATTATTGCCCTGGGTTCTTCTTTGTAAGCTTCTGGCATAATCATATCTGCTCTCCTGACTATCATGAGTACTGAAAGAAGGCTCTGGGGAGACTCTAGAAGTTATAAATAGGGAAATTTACATTTTTTGGACCTTATTACGGCTAGATTCGAACCTTCCTCTTCTAAAATTCAAACGTCGTTCTTAGAAAAGTTGAAAGTTTACCTAAATTGACCAGATATTGCCACCATCTCAGAGTTTTTGAAGGAATTCAGGATGAACTCATTAGAGAAAAACTCATTTGGCTTTGACTATAGAGAAATTATTGCCTCTTTCGAATCTACAAATACAACTTACTCTTTCCTGGCTCTCATTAGCAAAGGAAGCGTCACCCATATCCAAGTGAAATGTAGCATTTCTCCAATCTTTTTGAAAATCTAAATGAGGCTCACAACTTTGTTGGCACCTTCGGATCTTATTCTTATGGGTTCTCTGCTTCAGAACTCTTCTATTGATACTGAGATTTAAACGAGAGAGAGGATCTTTGTCTACGGGGGCGATACTCCTTCTGTTCTTCCTATCAGAGAGAAAGAACCTCTGATGAGTCTTCAACATCATATTCTGCTTAATAAAAACGCTTCTTTTATGCTTTCTTCCTTGGCTGGTTTCAAAAATGCTATCGCTCATATTTATAAAATTCAATGAAAATTGTGACAACTGGGGTTTTGGGGTTTTGGGGTTTTGGGG